AGGGAGGGACTTTGAATAGAGCAGATGTCTGAAGAGGCACGTTTGTTCTACATAACATATTTATTTTACAACGTTTCAAAAATGTCCAGTTGAACACGTCTCTGATAACTTGGTATTTACTTCCGCTTCCTCTGTGCAGGGCTGGGGTGCAGAGTACCACCGTCAGGATGTCACCAGCACCCCCTGCTGGATAGAGGTGCACCTGCACGGCCCTCTGCAGTGGCTGGACAAGGTCCTCACACAGATGGGCTCTCCCCATAATCCCATCTCCTCCGTGTCCTAACGCACACACACAGATGTGGCCTGTCCTAAAACACACACACACACACATATACTCTGTTTCCTAACACACACACACACACACACACACACATATACTCTGTTTCCTAACACACACACACACACACACACACACACACACACAGACAGACACAGGCAGACACACACATATGCTTATCTCGACTGATGCTATTGAAATAGCTGCCTTTTCTTCCTGACAGGAATCAACCATCATTTAACGCTACATTATGATGGTATTTCAGTTGATGACAGGAAATCAACCATACATAAGATAAGTTACTGTAGCTTTCAGTTAGTCAATGTACAGTATGTCAGTGATGCAGAAACATATTGGATTGTTTTAGCTACTCTGCAGTTCGGGTATACTTATACTGTAAGGGACAGTTTCGGCGACAACCGACAACTGAATATCCGTTTCATTGTTTTTGTTAGGTGATGTAGGAGGTGTAGCTGCGTTGGAGATGTCAAATCGGTGAGCGGCTGCTCTTGTCGTCGTTGAGCATATGAAATCACACTCCTCTTTAAATCCCAATCGCGTTAGAAGTTCAGAATGAAAAAAAGTGTAGGCCATAGTTGAAATAATGACAGGTTCCAACCGCTGTGTCTTTGTGAGACGCAGAGTAGGTGAACGGGTGATCTCCGCATGTGTGGTTCCCACCGTGAAGCATGGAGGAGGAGGTGTGATGGTGTGGGGGTGCTTTGCTGGTGACACCGTCAGTGATTTATTTAGAATTCAAGGCACACTTAAACAGCATGGCTACCACAGCATTCTGCAGCGATACGCCATCCCATCTGGTTTGCGCTTAGTGGGACAATGACCCAAAACACACCTCCAGGCTGTGTAAGGGCTATTTGACCAAGAAGGAGAGTGATGGAGTGCTGCATCAGATGACCTGGCCTCCATAATCACCCAACCTCAACCCAGTTGAGATGGTTTGGGATGAGTTGGAACGCAGAGTGAAGGAAAAGCAGCCAACATGTGCTCAGCATATGTCAAATCAAATCACATTTTATTGGTCACATATACATATTTAGCAGATGTTATTTCGGCTGTAGCGAAATGCTTGTGTTCCTAGCTCCAACAGTGCAGTAGTATCTAACAATTCACAACAATACACACAAATCTAAAAGTAAAATAATGGAATTAAGAAATACATAAATATTAGGACAAGCAATGTCGGAGTGGCATTGACTAATATACAATAGAATAGAATACAGTATATACATATGAAATGAGTAAAGCAGTATGTAAACATTATTAAAGTGACTAGTGTTCCATTATTAAAGTGGCCAGTGATTCCATGTCTATGTATATAGGGCAGCAGCCTCTAAGGTGCAGGGTTGAGTAACCGGGTGGTAGCCGGCTAATGATGGCTATTTAACAGTCTGATGGCCTTGAGATAGAAGCTGTTTTTCAGTCTCTCTGTCCCAGCTTTGATGCACCTGTACTGACCTCGCCTTCTGGATGATAGCGGGGTGAACAGACCGTGGCTCGGGTGGTTGATGTCCTTGATGATCTTTTTTGGCCTTCCTGTGACATCGGGTGCTGTAGGTGTGCTGGAGGGCAGGCAGTGTGCCCCCGGTGATGCGCTGGGTAGACCGCACCACCCTCTGGAGAGCCCTGCGGTTGCGGGCGGTGCAGTACCAGGCGGTGACACAGCCCGACAGGATGCCCTCAATGGTGCATCTGTAAAAGTTCATGAGGGTCTTAGGGGCCAAGCCAACTTTCTTCAGCCTCCTGAGGTCGAAGAGGCGCTGTTGCGCCTTCTTCACCACACTGTCTGTGTGGGTGGACCATTTCAGATCGTCAGTGAAGTGTACGCCGAGGAACTCGTTACACCTCTGACATCGCCTAAACAAAAACAATGAAACTGCTATGCAGTCGCGGGTTAAGGCAGAATTTATTTAGACAACGGTTTAAATTTTCATTCAATCACCTTTTGTTTACTGTAAGCTACAGACACTGCATTCAATCGTACATAGCTCTGTTTAAATAACCCTTTAACGGCACTCAAAGACAAAGGTGTTTGTCCCAAATGGCACCCTATTCCCTATATAGTGCACTAGGGTTCCATTTGAGACTCAAATTAAACATTACAGTATGTACTAATAGAGACTTATACGTCAATGTGTAAAATTGTGTTTGTGGTGTTTTACGTGTTGGAAACATTATAAACATGTATTTACTGATGTTTCTGACTGACCTTCTGATTATTTCATTCAATCTTTTTTTAAAAAATATATTCTTAAGGTTTTTCTTTAGTTTCTTTAGTTTTATGTGTAGTATATTTATGATACGTGAAGTAGTTTTATGTGTAGTGTATTTATGATACGTGAAGTAGTTTTATGTGTAGTGTATTTATGATACGTGAAGTAGTTTTATGTGTAGTGTATTTATGATACGTGAAGTAGTTTTATGTGTAGTGTATTTATGATACGTGAAGTAGTTTTATGTGTAGTGTATTTATGATACGTGAAGTAGTTTTATGTGTAGTGTATTTATGATACGTGAAGTAGTTTTATGTGTAGTGTATTTATGATACGTGAAGTAGTTTTATGTGTAGTGTATTTATGATACGTGAAGTAGTTTTATGTGTGGTATATTTATGATACGTGAAGTAGTTTTATGTGTAGTATATTTATGATACGTTAAGTCGTTTTATGTGTAGTGTATTTATGATACGTGAAGTAGTTTTATGTGTAGTGTATTTATGATACGTGAAGTAGTTTTATGTGTAGTGTATTTATGATACGTGAAGTAGTTTTATGTGTAGTTTATTTATGATACGTGAAGTAGTTTTATGTGTAGTGTATTAATGATAGATGAAGGAACTGTGCTAATAAGCATAATGACATTTGGTCCTCTGTAGCTCAGCTGGTAGAGCATTGCGCTTGTAACGCCAGGGTAGTGGGTTCGATCCCCGGGACCACCCATACATAAAAATGTATGCACACATGACTGTAAGTGGCTTTGGATAAAAGCGTCTGCTAAATGGCATATTATATTATTATTATCTATAAAAGCATTCTCGGTGAATAAAGCCGGGTTTCAATCCGATTGCACGATGCAGTGCACTTGACATTTAAAGGTAACTTACTATTGAGCTGACATATCCACCGACCTCCGCCAACACTAGAACATTACTTTTTTTTAAAAGGTGCAATCGTAGCCTAATGCGCAATTGGATTGAATCCCTGCCAAAATGTATTTATTCCGAGAAAGCTATTCTAGATGTTGCACTAGTGCTTCTTAAAAGCGTAGTTATTAACGAGACAACACAAACTCGATACATGGTCAAACACAGTGTTTAATGGACATTACAGGCACAGCCTGAGGAGAGGAGTACCATCATGTTCATCATTATTGTAATTCAATGTTACCAGGGGATAGTAGATACATACCAGATTGAAGTTAACCCCTATAACCACTGATCCAAGGTCAGATGTTACCAGGGGATAGTAGATACTCGTAAGGTTGAAGTTGCCCCTGTAACCACTGATTCAAGGTCAGATGTCATTCCATCCTAATTTATACCCTATGCAAGAACGCAATTAGCCACGCAAAATGGCCGCTCTGCGTACTTGCGCAACAAAAATACGCAAACGTGTCTAGGCCTGCAATTTGTCACTTCGCAACTATGCATGATAACCATTTTGCGTAGCTAATTGCATAGGGTATTAATCAGGTTTGGGGTCAATTCCATTTCAATTCCATTTCAATTCAGAAAGTAAACCAAATTCCAATTCCAAACTTTTCCTCCTTGAAAAGCATTGAAGAGAATTGGAATTACACTGTACTTTGTGAATTGACTTTTAAAATGGAATTGACCCCAACCCTGGTATAAATAGGACTTAATGGTTAAGGATTGGTTCATAGGGTAATCTGATCCTAGATCCGTGGTTAGGGGGAAGGTTCTACCCAGAGCTACAGATTACACATCACAACAAATAGATTATACCAGGGTTGTGGGTCAATCCCATTTCAATTTAGGAAGTAAACTGAACATTTAATTAGGAAAATTTGGAATTAGGTTTACTTTCTGAATTGACTGGGATTGACCCCAACCCTGATTAAAAACCCAGCCGACCGCCACACAGTAGCTCTTTAGCACCCCGCCCACTGTCCCTACCTTCAAAACACCACGCTATGGCCCCCAAACACACACACGCAATGAAGCACGATTGTCATTGTCACACGTAATCACAGAAAAAAATTCAGACATGATACATTTGCCATCTAACAACAACCACACAACGCTACCTAATTATTAACACAAGTTTGATCTAAACTGATATTCTTCTTCACTTCTATCTGTTTACTACTTCAAAAATAAAATAAAATTAGTCCAAAACATCAGTTTAACAAAGCAGACAATACAAAAATAAAACATTAAAACAATGAGTTCCCTTTGTAGCTGATGTAGTGAAATGTAAAGCATGCCGTTTGCTTTAACAGCTTCGTGAATTCTATTTAACAGATTGATTGACGAATGGATTGATTGGAAGCACAGTTGTGGTTGATAGGAGCCCATTACTCTGGAATATTCTACCAGTGCTTGAATCTTCAGCACCCTGGTAAACAAGCCTGAATATCCTTCGCTGGGCGTCACTAGATGGCCATGCTGCATCACCACACCGGATGGTCAGTACAGTACATTAGGATTTCGGTTCTTTAGGGTCGTGGGTGAAGACCCACTTGATTCGTTGCGTAAGAAAGCAGGAAAGGAACCCCGTAAGAACGGCGGCGCCGAGGGGAGGTGCTGTGCACCGCAACACTTTGGGGTCAGCGCACTTAATTAAACTTAATTGACTTAGTCCTGCGCCAGTCCGAGCGGTGCACTTGACAGCTTGCGTATATATATATATAAAGTGAACGGGCCATAAGGTAGTTAGGGTAATGTTAGGGTTGTGTTAAGGTTAGGGCAAGGTTAGGGATAGAGGTTGAAACCCCCACGAGTTAACCAGGTCCTAACCACTGTGTCCTTCTCCTGTCACCTGTGAAAGATGGAATAGATCAGGGAATAGTTCCAGAATGAGTTAGCATAACTCCAGGACATTCTAGATCCCATGTCTGGAGGTGGACAGAGTGGCTTGCCCCTCCCCTGTTGCATTTAGCAGCCCTGGAAGTCAGGCTGCGATTGGCTGTGACTTTGGGTGGTCAGGAGACGCTGCTGCTGCTGTAGAAACCTGATGACCTCAGGACTCCTCAGCAGAGACTGGGGACAAACACACACACACACACAGAACACACACACAGAACACACACACAGGCTAGTGTGACGTAATACATTGTTTGAATTCATGATACTGGTAGTTGCCATTACAGGAAGAGAAAATATGCTGCACATTTCAACAACCTAAGATGTGTTAACTGCTGTGTGTGTGTGTGTGTGTGTGTGTGTGTGTGTGTGTGTGTGTGTGTGTGTGTGTGTGTGTGAGTGAGTGACTCACCAGTCTCTTCTGGTTGAGCACCTGTTCGATGAGGGAGGGTCTGGCCGGTCGGTCCCCCATGGTGCCGAGACGCTGCTTGTTCACAGACACAGGCCTCTCCTCCAAGCTCTCCTGATCCAACACACACAGCATGGTTCAATATATAACCATCACACATATCCATTTAGACTAGAGCAGTATTCGTCAGTCCTAGTCCTGAGGACCACATCAGGGTTTTATCCCAGCCCTGTACTAACAAACCTGACTCAACTAATGATGATGAGTTGGATCAGATGTATTAGCACTGGGCTGGGACCAAATCATGCACATATTGTCGATTCCCTGGACTATGACAGATAAACATGTGAAAGAAAGCACCGTGTGTGTGTGTCTGCATGTTTGTCTGTCAGCCAGGTAAATTCTTACATCTTGTTTCCCGCTGGACATAGCCTGATCGCTCTTCTTCTTCTTGTACTTGTCTTTGTACATCTTGTTTCGGTGCTTCTTACACATCCACGGCTTCCGCTGCTTGGCTACCTGGGTCGTGGTCTCCGTACAACCGTCGTACGTGCACGTCTTCGACACGTTTTCGCTCTCCCCGAACCCTTCTTCGTCGTTGAGTTCTTCGGGGCTCGCAGCGCTGTCACGGGGGTCCGAGGTGTCCAAAACATCGCTCTCCTCGTCGGCATCATCCATGTCGTACGAGAACATGTTATTGTCCGATTCTTGCGGCGTGACTACATTTCTGCTGTCGACAACACCGCTCTTGTCAACGTAGTACGTCTGTCCGTCCTTGGTTAATAGCAGCGAAATGCTCGAGTCCTTGTTGTTACCCGCTGTTGTGGAACTCTCCTCTTCGCTCATGATTGGGACAAAATATCCCCACGATTTGTAGAAAGTGGATAACGTTAACAGTTGCCCACAGAAGTGGCTTTTCCCGTAAGCTATTGATCTAACGTTAGCTAGCTAGCTGTAGCTGGCAAGGTGTTGTTAGCTAACTAGCATGTACTGAATGCTAGCTGGCTGGCTAGTTTGACATTTAATTCACTACCCTCTCCTAGATCTGAGTGAGTCTCTGCCAGAAACGATGGACCACGCTAACGGAATAATAAGGTTATAGCTACCTGCTCTAAAGCAACATCACATAATTAACTGAGGAAATTATTTATAAATACCCCAAATGCTTAATCTGCAGGCTGGATGCTTCTCCTCCTCTCACACAACAAACAACGAGGACACTCCGCGGAGAGAGCATGACAGGGAGGAGTCTTCTTCTTCTTCAATGAGGTTTAACGGCGGTTGGCATCCAATTTGTTGCATTACCGCCACCTACTAGACTGGAGTACCAGTTTCTTTTCTTTTCCTTGAAAAAAATAAAAATAAAAATAAAAATACCCTACCATCTAACACTACTCTCACAAATTCAAAACTATTACTAATAATTAACCCCACCCTTCTCCACTATTTAAATATACTCACTCCTACCTCATGCCCTCAACCTGAAATGATGGGACATCACCACTTAACACTCCCTGTAACTCTTCTGCTGTCAAGTCTCGCACACCCAAATATTATTATTTTTTTATTTTTATTTTTTCACCTTTATTTAACCAGGTAAGCCAGTTGAGAACAATTTCTCATTTACAACTGCGACCTGGCCAAGATAAAGCAAAGCAGTGCGATAAAAACAACAACACAGAGTTACATATGGGGTAAAAAAAACATAAGGTCATAAAATACAACAGAAAATATATATACAGTGTGTGCAAATGTAGCAAGTTATGGAGGTAAGGCAAGGGCATCTCTCTGCAGCTGCCACCACAACCTCAATTGGAACAGCCAAAAGGCAAGGGTCCACTTTTTCCAAAAACTCATCTTTATCCTGACCCTCTGTGCAAGCCTCGGGCTCCGAGCACTTCACCACACCTACCACCTCCGATACTTCACCCTCATTCACTTCCATTTCTCCTCCTGTCTTCAGCTCACTTTGCTTACATTTCCTACCATTCTTCTTTAACGAACCTTCTCCCTTTTCCCCCGCCATTTCTTTACCGACTCAAGCTCACAATGTGACTCACTGAGTACGTTTGCATGCAAATTAATTATTAGATATTAAACTGATTATGGCAGAAGGCCAAGTATGGCATTAGTCATGTAAACACCTTACTCTGCTTATCTTAATCAGTGTAAGTTAAAAATCGAAGTAAGCATACACAGATCAAAACACCTGGTTTTCTGAGCAATCTTTTTGAATTATTAGGACGTATAAACAGCTGTGTATTTGATCTGGACATGTCTTAGAATTAGTTTTCACATACAAACGTTATACAGTGTCTTGCAAAAGTATTCATCCCCCTTGGCGTTTTTCCTATTTTGTTGCATTACAACCTGTAATTTAAACGGATTTTTATTTGGATTTCATGTAATGGACATACACAAAATTGTCCAAATTGGTGAAGTGAAATGAAAAAAATAACTTGTTTCAAAAAATTCTAAAAAATTCTAAAAAATTAATAACGGAAAAATGGTGCGTGCACCCCCTTTGCTATGAAGCCCCTAAATAAGATCTGGTGCAAACAATTACCTTCAGAAGTCACATCATTAGTTAAATAAAGTCCACCTGTGTGCAATCTAAGTGTCACATGATCTCAGTATATATACACCTGTTCTGGTATATATACACCTGTTCTGAAAAGCCCCAGAGTCTGCAACACCACTAAGCAAAGGGCACCACCAAGCAAGCGGCATCATGAAGACCAAGGAGCTCTTCAAACAGGTCAGGGACAAAGTTGTGGAGAAGTACAGATCAGGGTTGGGTTATAAAAAAATATCGGAAACTTTGAACATCCCATGGAGCACCAATAAATCCATTATTAAAAAATGGAAAGAATATGGCACCACAACAAACCTGCCAAGAGAGGGTTGCCCACCAAAACTCACAGACCAGGCAAGGAGGGCATTAATCAGAGAGGCAACAAAGAGACCAAAGATAACCCTGAAGGAGCTGCAAAGCTCCACAGCGGGGATTGGAGTATCTGGCCATAGGACCACTTTAAGCCGTACACTCCACAGAGCTGGGCCAGAAAAAAGCCATTGCTTAAAGAAAAAAATAAGCAAGCACGTTTGGTGTTCGCCAAAAGCCATGTGGGAGACTCCCCAAACATATGGAAAAAGGTACTCTGGTCAGATGAGACTAAAATGGAGCCTTTTGGCCATCAAGGAAAACGCTATGTCTGGCGCAAACCCAACACCTCTCATCACCCCGAGAACACCATCCCCACAGTGAAGCATTGTGGTGGCAGCATCATGCTGTGGGGATGTTTTTCATTGGCAGGGACTGGGAAACTGGTCAGAATTGAAGGAATGGTGGATGGCGCTAAATACAGGGAAATTCTTGAGGGAAACCTGTTTCAGTCTTCCAGAGATTTGAATAGTGAATAGGGTGAATAGTTATGCACGCTCAAGTTTTCCGTTTTTTTGTCTTATTTCTTGTTTGTTTCACAATAAAAAAATATTTTGCATCTTCAAAGTGGTAGGCATGTTGTGTAAATCAAATGGTACAAACCCCCCAAAAAATCCATTTTAATTCCAGGTTGTAAGGCAACAAAATAGGAAAAATGCCAAGGGGGGTGAATACTTTCGCAAGCCACTGTATGTACAGAAAACTGTAAGATAGTTTTCCATGCATACACATGTATAATGTGGAGCTGAAAAGGGTAGATGAAGACAGTAATTTGTGTACATAATTTATAGTTCTTACCTTTGTTCAGTAGAACTGTCTTTATCTCTGAATCTGATTGGTTGGCACACACTCATAAAATCACCTTTTTTGTTTTTACACTAAAATAAATATTCATCTCTAAATAGGCATTCTTTATTTTCCACATTACCTTTTATAAATACCAGCAAATAACGGTTGGAAATATTAAGTGAGTACAAATATCAGGCCCCGTGTAGTACTGGAGGAGAAGTATATAGGATTATTTACCGCGTCAGAGGTAGTCTGTGGAGATCGGTTGGCTTTCCCCGTGTCAGACCTGACCCCGAGATCCACATGAGTCAACAGCCTCCAAACCAACAACATTATTAATGGTGGATATCCAGTTAACCCCATCCATACTGTAATGATGTAAGAGACAGAAGAAGAAGGAAAGACTGAGTTACCAAACACCTTGAACACTCCTAAACACTCTTGTTGTTACTGTATATGGTGAGTAGTTCAGCACGTACAGTACTGTGTTTATTCATCAATGTGGGTTTTTTCCTTTATATACTGTTGCCCAGAAATGGGACAGTGTGTATGTTGCCCAATGGCCCTATAACTACTTTGGGAACCAGGATAAAATAACTTAGCTGTAGACAACTTCAGATCAAGCACCTAAACTAGTAATGGATGGAAGATTTCTATGTAATTTATAAACACGTATAAAATAAAACACTCACTGCAGATCAAAAGTGTTATTGGAGACGTGTCTAGTCATGAGACCCTCTGTCTGAACCACTAGACTAGTCAGAGTCCCACTGACACAAACCCAGGTATCAGAAAAGGTGCAGCTGTGAAAACCTGTCTTATTAGCGAAGGTCCCTCTGCAACGAAACACTTTATAAGACCTCCACTTAATAAGACCACCACTCAATAAGACCACCACTTAATAAGACCACCACTTAATAAGACCTTCACTTAATAAGACCTCCACTTAATAAGACCACCACTTTATAAGACCACCACTTAATAAGACCTCCACTTAATAAGACCACCACTTAATAAGACCACCACTTAATAAGACCACCACTTAATAAGACCACCACTTTATAAGACCACTTTATAAGACCTCCACTTTATAAGACCACCACTTTATAAGACCTCCACTTAATAAGACCACCACTTAATAAGACCACCACTTTATAAGACCACCACTTAATAAGACCACTACTTTATAAGACCACTTTATAAGACCACCACTTTATAAGACCTCCACTTAATAAGACCTCCACTTAATAAGACCACCACTTAATAAGACCACCACTTTATAAGACCTCCACTTAATAAGACCACCACTTTATAAGACCACTTTATAAGACCTCCACTTTATAAGACCTCCACTTTATAAGACCTCCACTTCAGACAAATGTCAAGATTGCAACAAAGAACATTGTGTAGAAAAAAGATGGTGATCTAGTAGATTAGGGGTTAATTGGTCATCAAAAACACAAGGAGGACCAAGGCACTCTTCATATAGTTAAAATGCCTTTATAATGATGGCATGTTCAATAGAACCATTATTTAAAACTCTAAAGCGTTTTGGCATGGTGTTCGTCAGGGAGTACAATGATAGGCTACAACATGCCTTGTTTTGAGAACAAACCATGTTCCAATCAACCCTGATTGAAGAGGTTAGGCACAAATTAGTCATTGGTGGACACAAAATGCTAAGTGTAAAATATTTGAAAAGACAATTCAGTTCTAGCCTTGAATAGGAGTGGGCATAACTAGTGAGAAAAGGAGAGCCATACGTAAAGAGTACATTAGATGGCAGCAAACGTCCCACAGACCAAATACAAATGTGTGTCATTTCACAGACACTTGTATTAAGTCTCTTCAGTCTACTTGACAAGTCTCTGGAATTAAGAATAAGGTTTCAAAACCCCTGGTAATTTACCAAAGTTACCAACATTTTCAGAAATGAAAGGTAGGTAACACTTTATTTGGAAAGTCCATCTGTAGACGCTCTACAGACTATCTGCAGGGTTTCCCAAACTCGGTCCTAGGCACCCCAAAGGGTGCATGTTTTGGTTTTTGCCCTAACACTAAACAGCTGATTCAAATAATCAACTAATAATCAAGTTGTGTAGTGTTAGGGCTAATCTACAGACTATCACTAACATTTAAACTAACTATCTACTACCCTAAACTTAACCCTTACCCTAACCCTTATTCTTAACCTTAGCAAGCAGTTGCTTATCAACAGATAGTTTGTTGATAGTGTGACCATCTGCAGAGCATCTACAGATGGAAAATCCGGACTATGCAAATAAAGTGTGACCTGTAATTTTATTTTGGAAATCTATGGAAACTTTGGTCATTTATACTTGACATTAGTTTTATGTATTCATATTTTGTCATATTCTTCATATCTGTGACCATGTTGTCCATTCGTTTATATACTTGACAAAAATATAAATGCAACATGCAACAATTTCAAAGATTTTACTGAGTTACAGTTCATATGAGGAAATCGGTCAATTGAAATAAATGGGCCTAGGGATCTCGTCAAGGTATTTTTGTGTATTCAAATTGCCATCGATAAAATGCAATTGTGTTCGTTGTCCGTAGCTTATGCCTGCCCATACCATAACCTCACCGTCACCATGGGGCACTCTGTTCACAATGTTGACATCAGCAAATCGCTCGCCCACACGACGCCATACACATGGTCTGCGGTTGTGAGGCCGGTTGGACGTACTGCCAAATTCTCTAAAACGACGTTGGAGGCGGCTTATGGTAGAGACATGAACATTAAATTATCTGGCAACAGCCCTGGTGGACATTCCTGCAGTCAGCATGCCAATTGCACGATCCCTCAAAACTTGAGATCCATGGCATTGTGTTGTGTGACAAAACTGCACATTTTAGAGTGGCCTTTTATTGTCCGCAGCACAAGGTGCACCTGTGTAATGATCATGCTGTTTAATCAGATTGTTGATATGCCACACCTTTTAGGTGGATGGATTATCTTGGCAAAGGAGAAATGCTCACTAACAGGGATGTAAACAAATTTGTGCACAAAATTTGACAGAAATGCGTATGGAACATTTCTGGGATATGTTATTTCAGCTCATGAAACATGGGACCAACATTTTACATGTTGTGTTTTATATTTTTGTTCAGTGTAGTAGATAGACCATGTGGTTCAGGAGAAAATAGCCTCATTAATGAAAATAACATCTATTCAACAATGTAATAATGACATAATTTCGAATTAACTCTGCAACTCTTCCAACTATTTACGTTTTTCACAACTGCCACCAGTTCGGCCCCAAAACATTTACAACAAAGATATATTGACAATATAAATAAATAATAAGAAATGTAGGTCTAAAGGATATTCCATGCTGAAACCCTACGGTATTCACTAAGTTGATGGGTTATATTTAGGATTCTATTATTCATATTAAAAACATCTTGTTTTATTATTTTATATATTTTTAATTGTTTTGAAAACTCCCTAAAATCCAAAATTCTGGTAGTTTACTGGTAAATTTAGAAATGTTGCTGGTAATATTCCCTCCAGGGGTTGGAACCGGGAATTATTTTCCTTTCCAAACAGAACCCCTATTTATTTTGTTCTGTTCCAGTGTTCCGACTAGCATGATAAAGCTCTGAACCGTTCGAACCCAAAAAAAAGTAATGGTTCATATAGTTAGTTTTCATACATTTTTTACCACGTGAAATCAACATTGTTTTTACATTTATCTCGTAAATGTACCCCACCGATCAGTCTGGATAGAGCAGCTTGCTATGGAACAGGTAAGCTAGTTGTTTACATGTTTGATGGACAGATAAGTGCAGGTGCCAGATGCGACTGAAATTCCACAACAACTCACAACAACCTTAGTGGTAGCTTAGTGGGTAAGAGTATTGTGCCAGTAACCGAAAGGTCGCTGGTTCTAATCCCCGAGCCAACTAGGTGAAAAATCTGTCGATGTGCCCTTGAGCAAGGCACTTAACCCTAATTGCTCCTGTAAGTTGCTCTGGATAAGAGCGTCTGCTAAATGACTAAAAAATAAAAAATAAATAAAAAAACCTTACTGTGGGCTAACGGTCAGTGTGGTGGTCCTAACATTTAGAATAAGTGAGGCATCACCACCTAATGCTGAACCTGACATTGGGGCAACTCAAAACGCATAGCCCACGCTACAGTATAGCGACAGTTAGCTACAGTTAGCTACAGTATAGCTACAGTTAGTTACAGTATAACTACAGTATAGCTACAGTATAAATACACTGATTGGATTTGCAAAAAGTCATCAGTGTAAGGGAATTTAGTCTATTTTTCAACTTTTAACCTAAATCAAATGACATGGTGACGTTTGTTGTTGATTTCACGTTGAATTCACGTTAGCTGAAAACTCAACCAAATGTACAGGGCCGTGAAAAAGTATTGTCCCCCTTTCTGATTTTCTCTATTTTTGCTATAAATATATGTTTAATGATTATGGCTGTAGATTGCAGGAAAAGGCTATTTCAGGTATTTGACAAATGCAATATTCTCCAACTCCAGACCACCCCCAGCCATACTCACTTACTTTGTGCCCCCTCAAATGTTTGGGGTGCATGATATCCCTGCTTAAGAATGTGGAGTAATGAGTAGGATTCTGTTTTCAAATGCAAAAGTGATTGCTTTTGATAAAAACGCTTTATCTGCCTTCCCAATGAAAATTAGTTAGAAAATTCCAACATATATTTTTGATGGAAAAGAGAAGTTGTACGTTTCTGAACGATGCATTATGCATTGCTGCCTTGTTGACAACATGACCGAGCGGTTCGATTTGAGCAGGTGCGCGTCTCCCTCACCGGTTAAACTCGGTCACATGACGGGCCATTGTTGCCCGGTTCAACCAGTGACCAGTTTAATATAATTCCTCAATGAATGTGGGTAGCCAAGCACATCTTCTTCCCTCTCTGAAACACTGACAGATTGAGCATAAAAAAATATCAATAATCATTCAGTGCAGGGTAATGCTTTCTTTGAGATTGTAGCCTAATATTGCTTGCAGTGGCATGCATGCAAACATCTATACACGCTGCGCGATCTATGAGCGTCCTCCCATTGCTATGGAAACGTTACCACGTGCTCTCGTCGTCGGCCGTGATTGGACCGCGCACCTGAGAGCGGTTCGGGCTTCGACAGAAATTTGTGTAAATCTGAAACAGCTGAGTTTACACAACAACAGCTGATCAGTGCTCTCATCGGAATGACACAAACCTACATGCAGAGGCCAATATAAACCGTTGGGAGGTAACAACTCATACTACGCCAAACCATTTTGAAGGATTCGGCTTATCTCTTTTGTGCTAGGAGTGCATCCGCTGTATTACACGCAACCCAGGTTTGTAGCATTTTTTAATTAAAAAAAAAAGGTTAAATTGAAACTGTTCCATTGCTAGCTACCTTAACTAGCCACACTTTTAAAGCGTTGGCTAACAAATCGTGCACATACTGTTTGAATTACAGGAACTTCGTTTTGGTTGTCTTTCATGGCTTTGCGATAAGTTAAGGTTAGCTAACCAGCTAGCTTTACTTTATTTTACCAGAACTTAATTAAACAAGGCGACCTACAAACGTGTTAAGCCCTCACTGCCGGTAGCCATGGCAGCCAGTTAATACAGTTCCACTAGGCAAGTTTGGTTTGTTTACCCTCTGTTACCAAATATGTAATCCTCTTTATGTTACTTCTAGCTTTTTAACTGTTTAAAGATGAGCTTCAGCACCGTCGCCCGTCTGGCCAGCCGTAGCAGCCAAGAAAATGTTCTGGCCTCAAATAGGATGGATTCATCCCGGATGGAGAGGGCCAAACAAAGGACTGTACTCGGCGTCTTAACAGAAAACGAACAGCACAGTCGATCTTTTGGTCAGGTGAGTAGTTTGAGAACTTTTCTGCATCCAAAGCAATTTCGTGTTGGCTAATCACTCTGTTTTTAGGGCGTTCCTTTTTCCAAGCGTGGCTCTATTTCGGACAACTCCCACACCACTCTCCTGGGTTGTCCCTCAAGCTCTAGCGTTGACATCTATGTGGATGAGCCATGTGAGGTCGTCATCCCAGCCTCTGGCGAACTTGTGGCTGCAGAGCCTCAGGTGGTGGATGAGGAAGCTGCTGCCATGCAACACAAAGATTTCCGTCTCTTCCTGGACCTGAGCTCAGGTGAGTTCGGCCTGTGGTGCCATTACACACCCCCCAAAGGCTCAATATTGCAGTGATACATCCCACGTCTATTGTCACGTCATCTTCACAGCACTGATGCATTTAACAGTAAACTTCTTGTGTTTTGCAGGGTCGTGCATGGATACTTCTATGCAGTCACTCCCAGATGACGAGTCTCTCACCTCTCAGTATATGTGTCTGGCAGAGTATGCAGATGACATCCACAAACACTTACGGGAGAGTGAAGTGCGCACTTGCTCCAAACGATAAGGCTACTAGTTTAAATGTCTATGCATCTATTTTAAACCTAAGGGCATCTGTTAAATGAAATGCAGTGTTCACATCTTTTTTTCTTCTGAGGGTAATTATCCCGATCACCATCTGTAGTTGTAGGCACCACCTGGCTCAGGCACGGCAGCCATTGTGGTTTAAAATTCACCACACTCCATTAGCACTGTAGTTGTAGCCTGGTTGGCTTTTGTATATAAATACTTTATCCCGCTGTTCACCTCACACACCCGCTAAATAAAGGTTCTTTAGCTTTACCTGTTTTTTAATCGATCCATAACTAATGGTAGTTGTAAAGTCTTAACCCTGTGTTCCAGATAAAATGCCGTCCGAAGCCTGGCTACATGCGGAAGCAGCCGGACATCACCAACTGCATGCGTGTCATCCTGGTGGACTGGCTGGTGGAGGTCGGCCAGGAGTACAAGCTGTGTGGGGAAACCATCCACCTGGCTGTCAACTACATGGACCGCTTCCTCTCCTGCATGTCTGTACTCCGGGGCAAGCTGCAGCTGGTGGGCACCGCTGCCATTCTGCTGGCTGCGTAAGTGATCATGTTACTAATTTGAGGGAGTTTGATTGTAAACACTCTTGTTGGTCTGTTCACAACGCTCGTGGCAGAAGGACTATGTGAAACTAGAACTGTGGTTCACGTTCAGCTGTGATAAATGGGCTTTTTAGGGTTAACCCTCTTTGTTCTCTGGTAGTAAATATGAGGAGATCTACCCTCCGGAGGTGGATGACTTTGTGTACATCACAGATGACACGTACACCAAGAAGCAGCTGCTTCGTATGGAACACCTCCTGCTGAAAGTGCTGGCCTTCGACATGACCGTCCCCACCACACACCAGTTCCTCCGCCATTTCCTCACCGTCCAAGCAGTCTGCTTCAAGACTGAGAGCCTCGCCCTGGTACTTAGAGAACTAACTAGTTGCTCATGTCTTATTATAGTCAGACTGCTTGACTGACTAGTGCATTTCTTCATGTATTTTGCTGTGCCATATCTTTGAAATTTGCCTATAGGCTAGCAGCATGGTATCAGGGCACAACAGTCAGTACTCTGAACCATGCGTTCAGAATATCATGTCCAATAGGGTCTACAGTCATTCTTGTAAGAGAATGTGTTCGCACCTGGTTAAATAAAAGCAAATGCATAAATTTGGTAACATGTAGGCTGTATTTCACCCCAGTTGACTAAGTGGTTTAGTTTTTATCAAACACTGGGTTTTTAATGTGCAGGGGTGTTTTGCTGCAGTTAACAAGTGGGGTTTTGTTCAATTCTTTCCTCTACTCTCAGTATGTGGCAGAGCTGAGCATGTTGGAAGTGGATCCATTCCTGCAGTACATCCCATCGATGGTGGCGGCTGCAGCTTTCTGTCTGGCCAACTACACCCTCAACAGGTCCCTCTGGGTAAGACATGGCCGTCATGGATCTCACGCTCCTATGCTGACTGTTGCATCATTACTCTGGGTTAACCCCCTCGACCTAGTGCCCGTTCGAACCTTAAATCAAGAACACTAACTCATATCTGCATCTTATCCTGTCGCGTTAATCACATTCCTGATATCAGTAGGGAAATCTCCCCTTTAGACATTGTTCTCATCAGTAGGCTATATGAACAAGTAATACACTAGATGGGTGCAGTGAAATGTGTTCGACGGGGTCAGCCCTAGTATGGCACCCCAGGAGCAAGTTAGGGTGACGTTCCTTGCTCATGGGCAAGTCAACATATTTTTCACCTTGTCGGCTCTGGTATTCGACCGCGCGTCCTCTTGGTTACTTGCCCAATGCTCTTACTGCTAGGCTACCTGACACCCTAGTTAGACTGGTTTGTGAAGACTCACTGAGCTAACCGTGTGCCATCTGTTTTCTAGCCTGAGGCCTTGTACACCTTCACTGGCTACACCCTGGCAGAGATCGCACCCTGCCTCAAGGACCTCCACAAGATGTACCTAAGTGCCTCCAGTCGCCCCCAACAGGCCATCAGGGAGAAGTACAAGGGCTCAAAGTGAGTGGGAATCTGTACTTCTCAAATTTGCCTTTACTATCATTCCTCAAACATGACCATGGTGTCTAACCTTAACGCTGTGGCTTAAGCCACAGCGTTATGTAAAATGGCAGTTTTAGTCCCAGCACTACTCCTGGGTTGTATTCAATACCTGAACTTGTCCAATAAAGTTAACTTGTTTTCTGTTGCTAAACTTTTTGACCATCTGCTGAATGGCTCTCCTCTCTGCAGGTTTGGCAACGTGTCTCTGCTAAGTCCTCCCGAGGCTCTGCCTTTTTACTGAAGCTGCTGGGAAGTGACAGACAACACAGCTCTTAGCTCCCTGTGTAGATGCCTACTGGACAAATGGATTTTTATTCCTTTTAAGACTTTTTAATTAATTTTTATCTTAAACATTTTATTCTAGGTAGCTAGTTATGTATAGGTAGCTATCAAGTAAACACAATTGTATAGTAACTTGTTTCTTGACTTCAAACTCTTGAATGACTACTTTAAGTGTGCTAGTCTGTAAGGTCAGGACTTGACCCATGTCTGTACAAGCCTTTTTTTAAACGGGTGGTTGAATGTTTTTAATGTACCAAGTCATTTTTGCTGTCAGTCACTGCCACACAATCATGGACCTCAGGCTGCATCTTGTATGTTGCATCATGTGATTAAAGGAAACAAGTTGCATATAGTTTGGCCTCTGCACTGCTATACTCCACTTCTCAATCCTCATCCTTCACACTGGAAGCGTTCATGTTTGGTTTTTGCCCATGCTTTCCTTCTGTATCAGTATTCAAATGTCATGGAGGTGGGCTCTTTCCACTGCTCTGGGGGGGGATTGGTTGAAGGGATTTGGCTTGATTACCTTTTGCTACATTCAAAATTGGTTCAAGATACTGTAGAAATGAACCTTCCTATGCTGCAACATTGAACTTGTACCAGTGGTGAATAGTAACGGCTTCGCAGCGTCCTCACTTGCGTAACCGGTGTGAAATGGCTGGCTAGTTAGCGGTGCGCACTAGTAGCGTTTCAATCGATGACGTCACTCGCGCTGAGACCTTGAAGTAGTTGTTTCTTTGCTCTGCAAGGGCCGCGTCTGTTGTGGAGCGATGGGGGTAACCGGTGCGTCGAGTGTGCGTGTTAATGTGTGCAGGGGGTCCCTGGTTAACACCCAGGTAGGGGAGAGGGACGGAAGTAACACTAACGCTTGTCTTAAACTGTCTCCAATCTGAGTAGCTGCAGCCCAGTAAAGCACCAAATACCCATAACCCAGCTGTCAAACATCGAAACTGTTCCAATAGTTTACCCAGAGGGGCTCTTTCAAACGCTCAGTGGCGGTTTCGTGTAGGCTTACACTCGCTTGACGTTTTAACTAACTCTTGGACAAGGTGTCTTATCACTATTTGCTTGTATTTAACCCAACAAATCAAATGCGGTTGGCAGAACTACAGATGCCATGATCTGGATAAGAATGCAGACTCAAATCAAAGGTAGGACTCAGGATTAACTGTTAGCTAAATGTAATTGGCTACATTTCTTAATTAACAATTCTGTGAACTGTTTTGCAAGTTTTAAATGGACAATGCCTGTTAGCGAAGGAGTCTTCTAAAGATGGCTAGCAGGGATTGGTAGTCTTGCATGATGTTTACTTTGATTGTAATTAGCAATTTTGAATCTGTAAATAGAGCCGACTATATTTAAGTCACCTTGTCCAAAACAGATTTACATGGTTATCAAAACGTCACACCAGGCTTAGCCTACACGAAACGCATAAAACCTTATTTTAAGCGTTTCTAAAATCCTCTATGGGGAAAAAGGTTTGGAACCATGACCGCTAGGTTTCATGGGTATTATGACACCACGGTTGGGCTGCTATATGGCCCCTTACAAAAAAAGATTGCAGGTTTGAAAGTGCAGTAACTGTGGTATTTTGGACGCAGTAATTGCGTTATACTGCACTCTGACTGAAAAATGTTTTCGTAAGGGGCAACCAGAGTGTGGGTGTAGTGTTAGCGATTGGGCAGATTTGTTGCCACTCAATACCTTTTTGAGAGGCTGATCGGGCTGTACGACGAATCGACGCCAGTGCAAATGACTTTTTTTTTAATGTATTTTTTCACCTTTATTTAACCAGGTAAGCCAGTTGAGAACAGGTTCTCATTTACAACTGCGACCTGGCCAAGATAAAGCAAAGCAGTGCAATAAAAACAACACAGAGTTACATATGGGGTAAAAACAGTCAAATACAACAGAAATATATATACAGTGTGTGCAAATGTAGCAAGTTATGGAGGTAGGCAATAAAAGGCTATAGTGCAAAATAATTACAATAGTATTAACATGGAATCTAGATGTGCAAGAGATTATGTGCAAATAGAGATACTGGGGTGCAAAAGAGCAAAATAAATAACAATATAGGGATGAGGTAGTTGGGTGGGCTAATTTCAGATGGGCTGTGTACAGGTGCAGTGATCGGTAAGGTGCTCTGACAACTGATGCTTAAAGTTATTGAGGGAGATAAGAGTCTCCAGCTTCAGAGATTTTTGCAATTCGTTCCAGTCATTGGCAGCAGAGAACTGGAAGGAATGGCGGCCAAAGGAGGTGTTGGCTTTGGGAATGACCAGTGAGATATACCTGCTGGAGCGCAGACTACGGGTGGGTGCTGCTATGGTGACCAATGAGCTAAGATAAGGCGGGGATTTGCCTAGCAGTGATTTATAGATGGCCTGGAGCCAGTGGGTTTGACGACAAACATGTAGTGAGGACCAGCCAACAAGAGCGTACAGGTCACAGTGGTGGGTAGTGTATGGGGCTTTGGTGACAAAACGGATGGCACTGTGATAGACTACATCCAATTTGCTGAGTAGAGTGTTGGAGGCTATTTTGTAAATGACATCGCCGAAGTCAAGGATCGGTAGGATAGTCAGTTTTACGAGGGCATGTTTGGCAGCATGAGTGAAGGAGGCTTTGTTGCGAAATAGGAAGCCGATTCTAGATTTAACTTTGGATTGGAGATTCTTTATGTGAGTCTGGAAGTTGAGTTTACAGTCTAACCAGACACCTAGGTATTTGTAGTTGTCCACATACTCTAGGTCAGACCCGTCGAGAGTGGTGATTCTAGTCGGGTGTGCGGGTGCCAGCAGCGTTTGATTGAAAAGCATGCATTTAGTTTTACTAGTGTTTAAGAGCAGTTGGAGGCTACTGAAGGATTGTTGTATGGCATTGAAGCTCGTTTGGAGGTTTGTTAACACAGTGTCCAATGAAGGGCCAGATGTATACAAAATGGTGTCGTCTGCGTAGAGGTGGATCTGAGAGTCACCAGCAGCAAGAGCGACATCATTGATATACACGGAGAAAAGTGTCGGCCCAAGAATTGAACCCTGTGGCACCCCCATAGAGACTGCCATAGGTCCAGACAACAGGCCCTCCGATTTGACACACTGAACTCTATCTGAGAAGTAGTTGGTGAACCAGGCGAGGCAGTCATTTGAGAAACCAAGGCTATTTAGTCTGCCAATAAGAATAATATAATAATAATATAATAATAATAATATAATGCGGTGGTTGACAGAGTCGAAAGCCTTGGCCAGGTCGATGAAGACGGCTGCACAGTACTGTCTATTATCAATCGCGGTTATAATATCGTTTAGGACCTTGAGCGTGGCTGAAGTGCACCCATGACCAGCTCGGAAACCGGATTGCATAGCGGAGAAGGTACGGTGGTATTCGAAATGGTCGGTGATCTGTTTGTTAACTTGGCTTTCAAAAACTTTCGAAAGGCAGGGCAGGATGGATATAGGTCTGTAGCAGTGCACTGGTGACTAGTACACAATATATTGATAACCCTCTACATGTCTCCTTGATACATAGTCTACTACTCAATGGGGAGGGCAACATCGGGACAATGCCCGTCACTACCGCTTGCCAAGCGCTGCTTGTCCCGCAACGGTACCGGAAGTAGCCAATATCAGGGTGGAGTCATAGTAACCACACAAATACAAGCAACAGTACACCATCAGTACTTTTTTAATCAAAAACAATCGTCAGTTTTATAACTGAATGTACAAAACTAACACTGAAATATGACTGACTCATCCTCTGGCTTCAAAACACAAGTCCAAACTCGCGCTATGGTAGTTGAGTGGTTACTACTTTCCTTCCGACACATCCACACTCCTATACTCAACGGCCGTCAGTAGTTACCACAGCCACGAAGTCAAAATTGGCTATCATAAAAATTAATGAAATCAAAAATGAGCTTTTTGGTCTTTATTTAAGGTTGGGCCGGAGCTGTCTGGAGCGCAGTACCAGCACCTCCATTTTTTAAGGAAATGCATACCGGTGTTATACTGGTGGTTTGTCGACACTGATTATTTGTGCTGCGACGCGCTCGGGGGAAAGAACAACAAAAGCGCTGTTATCAGAAAACAGGAGGCGTGGATATATTTCTGTTTCCCCCTGTTAAGGTGGCTTAGTATTTGTCAGACTGTAATGAAAAGCAAAGACTAATTACATTTGCGTGTCTGCATATCGCCCACCTCACTTGTTTTATATGATACATCGACACCGCAATCATAATAATGTTTGGAAGTAAACGTATAGCCATAGTTGAACATAACATTGGCATCAGTCAAAATGTACTTGGTGTAGGCTACCAGGGGCAGACTGGGACAAAAAGTCTGCCTGTACTGAGCCCAGCAACATCGTAGTAGTGTATTAATAAACACAGTTATTAATACCCCCCATCCTAAGGGTTAATTACTATTACATATATAATACAGAGCCAAAATAAACTGGCAGTACATGTCTCTCTCTCTCTCTCTCCATATGTCCACTACACTTGACTGCAGCAGCTGAGATGTCTGTGCTGCTAAGCCTAGCATCACTGGGACGAGAAGACCAGGGGACCGCACTGCCTCTGCTGGGCCCAGCAAGCCCTAGGGTAACACTTTATTTTAAGGGTCCACAATAAACCATTTCTAAGTCATTTATAAACCGTTTGCTCACCATTTATTAATAATTACTCTCACATTTGTAAATGTTAGTAAGCTAGTTATTCACTCATGCATGTACTGTATATCTCCCGAGTGGCGCAGTGGTCTAAGGCACTGCATCGCAGTGCTAGCTGTGCCACTAGAGATCCTGGTTCGAATCCAGGCTCTGTCGTAGCCGGCCGTGACCGGGAGACCCATGGGGCGGCGCGCAATTGGCCCAGCGTCGTCCAGGGTAGGGGAGGGAATGGCCGGCAGGGATTATGGCATCTGTGTTTGCAACGCCAGGGTTGTGGGTTCGATTCCT